TGCATAATTAAAATGAACAAATTAGGAACTTAAATTGCAATTCTGTCCAGATCCTACTAATAGGCATGCTGCCATTGACCTCAGAGCATGAATAACCTTGCCCTTTGTTAGGGCAGATGTGTAAACTAGTACAAATTGAAGAATACTGAATATTAAAATAGAATGGATATGATATTGCCACTGAAAATTAATTTACAACCTATGTCTTAATTAAAAACACATGCTTTAAACATATTCTTATACTGAAGTACTCTAATAAAATCTAGCCATAAAGTTGAGATAAATAGTGCAGACTGATGTTTAAAAAAAAAAAAAAGAAAGGAAGAAAACATGAAAATGTAGTATATATTCATGTGCGCTAAGAGATGGAATTTATGCAACAGACTGCAGACAAAATCCAAAGTTGGTGAAAATCCAAGGTAGAAATTGGCCTAATATGTTTTTCTGGATTGTTAAGAATGAATAGCACAGCTACTCGCTTGCACACATATTATTCTGCCAGTCATTGTAAGCTGTGAAAATAGAGGACTGATACAACACTCAAGCAAGGACTGGGGGGTGCAGATGGTTGGAGAGGAAAGAGAAAAGAAGAAAAGAATCTCAGGATTGTACTCTGACTACTAAGGAGAATTAAAAATGAGAAGTTTTTAAACAACTTTTTTTTTTTTTTAAAGGCAAAATATTACATTTTGAACTGCTGGGAAGTTAATATCTAGCCAAGCAGTAACTGAGTGTTTTAACAGAGATCCCAAACTATTACCACCAAACATTTCCTAGAAAATCATTTGAATACTTTTATGACCCTTTGTGAGACTCAGTCAGAAGGTAAATGCCTGAAAGGGGAAATTAAATATCTAGATATAGACAAACTCACACAAAAGTGTTTTTCAATGATTTTTTTTCCCCACACAAATCTAGTGTGCAAAAGGTTTACTTCTAAACAACAGCAAGCATTACTATTTATACAAAGTATAGATTATTTTGATAACTTACAAACTTGTCCCAAAGCACTTTTAATTACTGAAGGCTTCATTTGTTAAATCAGACAAAGCCTTGAACTAGAGGCAGTGAAGATCTATACTGCCCACATTGTGTGCTTTTATTTATTCTTAGTTTTCCAGTTCAGGAAATCATTATATACATGATCAGCTCCATTCAGCACATTTGTTACTCCATGAGCACATGAGCTCCATGAACTTAGTTTGTGGGATTATGCTCAAAATTTGCCTTAAATCAAGGGAGAAGAATGTTATCAAAAAAACACAACTTCCAGAATTGTCTCCAGTCAAAACATGAAAGCCTGAGCTTAACTCCATGAAACTGGTCATTTTCTGGATTTAGAATTAAATAAACCACATTTTTGCCCACCTGGAATGGACTATGCAAACTCTAGGTACACCTTGAACACCTGCCCACCCTTCCACCCTCACAGAGGCAAACTTTATAAAGCAAATAGAATAAATACCTACTAACCGATGTTGGTTACAGCTGACTGATTTACAGACTGCATCGCAAATTAAAAATAATGTCTTTTTTTTAGGGATTAGAAAAAATTCCACTCACATGATATGCTTGTTAATTAGCTTCAAATCACCTGCTGGCTGACATTTGCCATGCAATAAACTGTTTTTCAGATTCACATTCTAGCTACTTTATTGTTCCATGCTAGTTCCTTGAAATCCCCCAGAATCTATTTGATTCCTTTCAGCTACAAGAAAAAAAACTATTAATAATAAAGATACAATTTATACCACCAAACCCAAAGAAATTCACAGCTAAGAGTGGAAACTTGAACTGCATTTTAGGCCTTATCCTGTTAAGCTGTGAAAGAAAAAGAGATTTAAAAAAACACATAAGCAGGAATTATGTAATATGCTGACTGATTTTATTAATTCATACCTAATAACTTTTGACTATACCTACATTACTCAACTTATTTTTCTACCATCATTTCATGGACTATGGCCTCTCAGCTCACAGAAGAGCCTACAGAAAACTGATGATGGGAAAACTCTATGCTCCTACCACACTATACACAAAAGGTTTCCAAACTTGGAACATGGCACTAGATCCACTGTATCAAAACCAAATAAATCATCTACATGAAGATCTTGCATCACTGTAATGGCTCACAGTTGGTACTCTACAGTCTCTCAGCTACAGCTTCCCCTTTGTCAATCTCAGGGCAGTCATTCCAAAGGAATACCAAAGGAATACTCTCAGGATAGTGAAGACTTACTGTGTTTTTGACAGAATAGTAAGAATGTAGGAACCATGGGACTGTGTGCTTATCTAAGGCCAATATATTGATTCTGTCAATGGCTGGTAGCAAATGTCTAAAAAAGGCTACACACAGCACTGCATGGACAGAAATCCTGGGACACACATTCCTAGTGCAAAGCATCCTGCAAATAAGATCAAATATCTGTCTTTTGCCAGTCTACTGTCACAGAGTCCTAGAACACATCAGGATTTTTTTCAGAGATGTATCAACTTTGCATATGCAAAGAGATTTTCACTTCAGTTCCCTGAGACCACAGAATATATGCAGAGACAGCAACGAAGGAAAACAGATCTATTTCTTCTTTTCACCTCTTTCTTAGGGGAGTAGCCTCACACTCACAGTCCACAGAATAGTAAGTCAATAGACCACTTTAATATTTTTAAGCACAAACAAAAAACCCAAAACGAAAAGCAGGCTCATGCTAGAAGTCTTAAATTCACTTCAAAGACAACACTGGAATTGGCAATTAGAGCGACTTTGCACAGAAAAATGTTTGCAAACAAGTTTTAAAGCCCAGCAAATGTAGAAAACTGCCTCAGAAGAGGAGGACAATCTTGGACCTGCTGCAGAAAAGGAATGTGCACAGTTCTGTCTGGCCCTATATCACTAAAAAATGCCTAAAAGAGCTAACAGGGAAACCTGCTATTATAGAATAAAAAGAGATCACTAATGAGTGAGTAATATGCATAAATTCTATAGGAGCAAGAGCTCACAGTCCGTATTGAGAGCTCACCTCACACAAAAATAAACACCTATAAGCCCATTTTAAAACTGGAAAAATAGAAAAACTATACCACTCATGGTAAAATTATACCATTTGTGGCATTATCCATTTTTACTGACACTGCTCCAAGCTATAAGTCCCAAATTCTTTCTTCATGTAAATAGCAATTTCTCCCCAAAGAAGGGGCATCAGTTCAATGGGGATGCTGAACAAATTGCAGCTGAAGTAGAAAGCTGCTTCTAAAGCTAACTCAAGCAAAGCCCAATCCAAGGTAAACATTTCTACATTGCAAGGTATAAGCCATTAGCTTCAGAAGCTGGGTCTACAAAAGCGCATCACTAGTACAATAGCAGAAGGGGAGAAAAAAAGTACATTCTCCAAACCTCCCAAAATTTTACAAAAGAAAATCCCGGGGTATTTTTTAGGAGGTTTGGAATCAATTATTTTGCTACATAAAGCACTAGAGCTTCCTCAAGGAAGATCTTGATACTTTTGCAAAATATAGTGGATTTCTTTTTTGTTTTAAAAAGATGAAGTCAGTGAAAGAGGAAAAGCTAACTGTGTTTTGCAGTGCCAGAATAACACCAATAATCTCAAGTTATTCAGCTACACTAGTAGAAGTTCAGTGGTATCAATGCAGCTCATGTATATTGGGAAGCCTCAGATGCACTCACAGCACCAACAGGTTGCAATTTTTTACTCTGGGACTAAATTATGCCAGCAAAAGTCAGATATGTGACCACAGCTGTAAATATGGATTTAATTTCAAATACGTGAACAGCCCTTTTGAAGCTAAGGGGATAACTTGTATGCATAAAAAAAATGAACATAGAGGTCTTTGCAAAAATCAAGACTTTGGAATGTAATTGCATTTTATTCTGAGTTCTATTCTTTTTTTTTTTTAATATGGGACACTTTTTAAGCATAGTGAACTAAAATAGCTCTCAACTTTAATATTTAAACATTCTAGTTATTATATGCTGTCATTAGCACTATATGGTAACAATAATACTTAAAATATGAATATAAAAATGCAGACTGTTCCTTTCAAAATAAAACAAAAACAACAAATCATCCCCCAAAAATACAGCCACAATTGTATTTTATGCAAAACTCCAAGTAAGACTAATTATTTTAAAAATTTCTGCAGTGAACATAATGATTCCACAAACAGGTCACATACACAGCAGTACAGAAATTTTCCTGGAAAATAAATTACAATGAAAAGATCCCAACCCAAATTAGTGCTGCTGCACCTGATGCTGATTTAACACTTAAGGAAAGAAAATAATACTGTCCTTAAACTCCTGGAAACAAATCTCCTAGTAAAGTATAGTTGTTTACCCACCTCTATACACAGCAATACACTGATTTACTAGGACTGCAAGATTAGAGGGAGCACTGTTGGATGTGTCACAGTACCAGTGGAGTACAGATAAATGTGCACAAACTCAGGCTTTGAAAGTAGCTATTGAAAGTGACTGTTCTCATCTTAATCAAGCATAATAAATAAAAACTACAAAGCAGATTCTCACATTGCTGGAACCTGCAGGAAACTGTTGTTTCAGCAGAAAAATGCTGATTTACAATAGCTGAAGTTCTGGCTTGGAATTCTTACTAAAAAAAGCATTGCACATGGTTAACAAAACATTTTCCACACTGTTTTGTCTTCCATAATTTGAAGGATGTTTTTTCTTTTCCCCCCCCATAATGATAAAACTAAAAAATGCTCAATAAGATCTGTTTTATCAGAATACTTTCCATTGGCAGTTATGAAATGAGCAATAACAGCAGAGACAAGTAATTTGTAGATCTTACCTTTCCAAATTTTTAATCTATATTTTAAGTCAGATACCCTTAAAAAAAAGCCATCTGTTATTTTTTCTCCCCATAATATTACCTACCAGTTATACTACTTTAAAACTAGCCTCTATATAAAAGAACAAGAAAGCTACAGAAAGAAAATAAACACAATATTTATAATGACCATACCTAGTAATAAGAACCGCATTATCATGGTGGGCAATCCCATTTTCTGGAATGGTGTTTCCATCACTTTGGTGGGAGAGAATGGATTTCTGCCACTTACAGAAGCTATCGAGGGACTTGTCTGCATGGTGGTTTATCTCCAAGTTTGGCTGCAATACAACATGCATACCAGAAATGTTCCAAACAAATTACTAAGGTCAGTTGTTAAGCCTTCTGAAGACTAAAATGGGACTATAATTAGAAGCGGTGGTTTCTAGGAATAACTTCTTGCCAAATTTTATCTGTGTAAAATCTGACCCAAAGTTCAGTTTTATATTACAGAACAGACATTCTTTCTGCTTCAATTTATTAATGATTATGTCAATACAAAAAAAAAAAAAAAAACAGAATATCAAGATACAGAGCTAAAAATAAAATCTGACATCCCTGAAGGTGTATTAACATTCACCTGAAGTAACGAACAGGTAACTTTGAGCTGGCATGTGAGGAAATATTCCTTCTCACTGTTTTGTCTTGATTAAAGTAGACAGGTTTTATACACAAATGCAGCCATTTTAAGCAATTATTAAATTAAATCTATAATACTTTAAAGGAGAGTGCCTTGTATTTCCAAAGACATAAATTTTAAGTGAAACAACTCTTACCTGATCTTCAGTGAGGACAATTAAACGAGTCACTATAATATTCACAACGTTTCCTAGACTGGAATCACGATAAAGTTTGGCAACCTGACCTCCAGAAAATAAGAAAAGACAAAGTCAGACAAGAAACACTATTTGTTTCATGGCTAAAAAATAATCTGTTTTCCCTGTTAAATATAATTTCATAATGTTAATTATCATTATCACCTGAATAAGAGCTATTTTTGAAGCAGCAATTGACCATTTAGTAAAACAAAATTATTCAATCATCTTTTTCAATGAAAACTTTATATCTTGTTTCATAATCCACCCATTATAAGGAGCATTTAGGCTCTTGATTTAAACAACAAAATAAAACTGTATAATTTTCCATCGTAATCATATGAATTTAATATCAAAGACACAATTTAAAAGTGAACACAGTATACTTCTTGACAGAAACAATGTTAGTTTTGTGGGGAAAAATGTAGTATTTGACATATTTCAAGTACTAATTACTCCAAGCAGATGCATACATTAAGGCATTATTCATGTCAGTAAATAAATTTAATGTTTTATAGATGCTTATGATTTCAGAACATGAAAGTTACATGCATGAGAGGGAACAAACTTACAATATTCATTACACTCAAAATGTAATGTTCAATGTCTTTGCGACCATGGTATCCCACCATCATTTTGTCTGCTACTACCAGCGTCTCCACAAACCGCTCCAGGCTTATGGATCTCTTCTGTCGACCGTGGCTGTTCAGTGTGTCATTAACTGGAAGTGAAGTTGGAGAAGCAGATGCATCATTCATCCACCAAGGCTTACTGCTTCTTGGGAGGTCTTCTAGAAACCAAAACAATTAAACACTTCAGAGGGGTCCCTACTAAAAGTTGAGCAAATACAGCTGTTTTATGTTGAGATTATAATCCTAAATCTTATGAAAACAATAAGACTTTCTTGAGACAAGGAAAAATTTAATCTATATGCTAAATGAATAATATATAGATTTGATTTTAAAGTAATATATAATGGGGAAAACATCTTTGTTATAAGACATGGTCTCATTCTCAACTTTAAGAGAAGATGCTGATTTATCTCCTTAAAAGACGTAATTCTACACAGCTATGTTAATATTAAAGATGAATTATAATTAAGCATGAGTACATTTCAGGATTTAAGGATAAGAACAAGACTGCTATAATATTTGAAAAAACAAACATACTGGAAATCTCTTTAAATTGGCATTAATATTGAACACCGATATCAATAAATTGAAAACAAAGTCAAAATTAACAAGAAATTTAGTTTTAAATCATGAATGAAATCCAACGTGTGCAGACAAGGAGTCTACAAATATGGCACCCGCATTTTCTTAAGTCACTCCTTTAATGATGCAGGGAAGGGTGAGAGGAAGAAAAGGGGAAAAAACAACACATAAAAACAAACAAGATCTCACAACAGCCAAGAAAATTACATGTGCTAAATACAACTAGGAGAATCATGTGCTGATTTTAGTATTTTAATAATGTATGTTACTGTACATGAATTTTTTTTCTTTTCATTTTAGAATACATTATAAAATCTGGCAGGAGCAAGATAGCTACACGAGGCAGCATGCAATGGAGCTATCTCTAAATAACGCAGCCGCCACTTCTCTGGATTCAAATGCCAACCTGTTCTCAAGTATATCCAAAGTCTGCATATTTGTAACAAAGAAACAAAACAACAACAACAAAAAATCATTCATGCAACTCTAAAATTGCCCAATAGACAGAATTTCTATTTTAGTCACAAATACAAGAACATAGCCTTTCAGTAAAAAAAAAAAAAAAAAACATATTTCTTAAGTTTATCCATTATTATTTGCATTTGCACAATGGAACTTCTTTTGCAATCATAACATAGCACAGTATCACGTATCAGTCAAAATAAATATTTCTGTAAACTAAACAGTCAAACAAGAATACCATCCAAAGTAGTTCATAATAAAGTCTTTGTTGCAAACATGATAGAAGATTTTAACATTTTTCCTCTGAAATAGAAATATCCCTCTGGAGTATAATTTGATGTTTACAACCTCTTAGCAGGGTCTTAATTATTTCAGCTATATTTAATAAGGCAGTTAATTTGGTTGCAACATATGCATAAAGTATTAACTTTTTTTTTAACATTCTTATGTATCTTCTAACTGCTTAAAATCTCAAAGTTTTGGGGAATCAGCCACAATCCCATCCTACATTTCACCTGAGCCTAATCTGTCAAATAAAGAAATATTTTCATCCCTTTCTCTCAAATTGTTTTCTTGTATGGACCACCATAATTCTGCTATGTACTGTGAAATAACCCATCACATAATCATCTCAACAAACTCTTGACATCCTCTCAACCCCTCTGCCCCATTTGGTCAGTTATTGGGATTTTTCTCTCAACAGTCAGAAATAATGTTCTCCTTGTCTCCTGTCTCAACAATCCTGACAAAGAGCAGATATATGATAAATTTAGATCTTGATTACAGTAGGGGAAACTTGTCAACACGATAATAGTGGCACACCTACACAAGCAGACTCCTCCTAGCATTTTATAGTGTCAAAACTGTTCCAAAAGGATAGCTACAACCAGTTTCTTGTACAAGCCAAGTGACAAAAATGCAGTAGCAGTTTTGTTACAACTGCATTTACACTGTGTGTGTGGGGGGGGGGAACAAACCAAACTAACATGAAATGCGAATGTCCAAAACTTTTCAAAACACTCAAATGCTGAACAAATTCATTCTAATAGTAATTTATTAATGTAAATCTGGCCTCGATTCTGGAGTCTGAAAGCTGAGAAACTGGAAATTACTATTTGATTTTATTTTTTAGATATTCTCGCTATATTTTAGATGCCATGCCTCTTTGGCATAAAGGGTTTATACAGTGCTAAAAAAAATGAGTTTAAAAGGTTTTGGTAGCTTGGAAGAAAACATTATAATAGTATTTCATCCGGAAAAGTTGGAGCTCACAGTTTGGGGAAGTAAAAAAGGTTTACAGAAATTTTCAGTTTGTGGAAAAAGTAAAGGTAAATCAGGTAAAGGTCCTGAGGGGAAAGGAAAACTGAAATATATGAGTATGAGTGTAATCTTCTGCTTGCAAGATGCAAATGCTTGCAGGATTCAGTGATTAAAGAATGTGACAAACATAAAAGCACAGAGAATGCAGATGAACTTCTGCGGACAGAAGCAGCATCAAATGCAAAGGAACTTACATTAAAATTATTGGATGTTTCAAAAGAAATGTACACTAGATGCAAAGCTCTGATCAGCCTATGATCCATGCGACACACCACCAGAATGATTAGATGTAGTCTCACCAAATAGCTGCCACTGCTTCACCCTTGCTTGGAGCTGAGTAACTTCCTAAGCATTCATCTAGAATGCAACATCTGACAGAGGCCAATGTATTCCTTGCAGCGTTAGACGTTTTTCACTTATTTGAAGAGGCTTACATGTCTACATTCCCTATACAAGGAAAGGAAAAGACTGAAAGATGGACAAGAGGTCTATTGCAATATGCTTAAATTGGAGTGCCCCATGTATGATAGTATCTTATTTTACAATCAGTTAAACAGCCATTCTAAGTCTTGTAGCACAAGGCAATAGCTAGAAGATTGTTCTGCAATCATTAGAAGAATGTAGATGAAATTAAGAACTTCTTAATTAACTAACATCTTAATTAATTAACACTTCTTAAGAAGCGTGATACAGAAAGTTTGATATTTCCTATGAGTCTAATCATAGTTAATGGAACCACTCAGGAAAAAAATGTCTCTCAAACATGTTTTTTTGGTATAAGATCTGTTTTAAGTTCAGTCAGCCAGTGCCAGTAAAAGCTACAACTTCCAAAAGGAGAAGCCGAAGAGTTAATATCAATGAACAATGACATTATTTTAATGTTTGCCAACCTGTCCTATGGACTGAATCTCATGGAAAAATAATGTCTAGACTGAACTTTTAAGAACAAGTGATTCTTGAGAGCAACAGCGTAAACATTAAGCCCAGATCATTTTTCAAATACATGAAAAACATTTTAGTGCTCTAAAACAACTTGCCAGATATACTCCAAGAACTACTACTCAAGAAATTAGCTTTTGGCTTAAGTTTAAGCAAGTGGAAATGATGTCAGAAGGAGGATATTTGAAAAGTGCTTTTGTGGAGGTTAAACTCTGCTTTAAAGCAAAATCATCCCTCAATCAAAACTATGTGGTCCTTCCTGTAGGGCACCTGTAAATCACCTGTAATCGGCTGTCAGGAAATAAACTTAACTCAGTGAAACTCACCAAAAACAAACCAAAAAACCCACCCACAATATCAAAACACCTAAGCCACCTTAAGCGAGAAAGATCTGGGGACTCCCGATCAGTTCCAAATGTATCGTTAATGACAATACTAACATATTTCTAAAATATCAAGTTTTCACAAGTGAGATGGAACATTTATTAAACACTGAGCTGCAATACTTTGTTACTCAATTAGTCAAACCACTCAAGTCCCCAGTCTGGGAACAAGGCACATCTGTAGTGCATTATGAGGAAGCCTGTGCTCATCACATTACTATATTACTATAGTCTTAATATGAAAAAAAAACGCATAACTACTTTTCAAAAGAGGCACATCACATCCTCCAGAGGAAAATTTCTACTGCAGCCATCCCCACTGTATCTTACATAACAACTACAAAGATCTTAAAACACAACTTGTTATAACTTTTATAATTATGATTTTTATATACATAACTGACATTCATACTTTTTTACCTGAGACTCCACAATGATGACGATCATAGAGAAGCTGTTGGTGCATGGTAGACTTTTTGTAAATAACGTGAGGATGACCATTTTCATAATTATATTTACTGGAATTTTTTGTTATATTCCTTAAAGGCTCTATAAAATACTCTTCATCTTCTGTAGCAATAACTCCATGCTTAAGGGGGGGGGAAAAAGAACATAAAAACTTCAAAAGACAAAATATAAAACTCTATTAAGTTTAATTTACAGTAATATTGGACTATCATTTATTTCTGTGAAGAATTTCACGACACACCACCACAGCAAACAGTGTAAGAGCCAGCCAGTCTCCTCCACTGGCTTTAGTGGGAGCAAGAGTAGGTCCCTATACAAAACACAGTAACAGAAGAACATATATAGCCCTACTTCTGGAGTTCTTTCTTTCCCACTATCTTTGGTGGATGTGGTAAGAGAACAAGAGATATTCTTGATCTATGACAAGCAGTCTGTTCACAAAGATGTTCCAGAACGCCATGATTCATATCCATTAAAAGTGATGTCAAGCCAAAATGGCCTCATTCAAAGGGTGAGCCTCCTATGCCTCTATGATGGCGTATTAGTAGTTACTAAAACTGTACACTGGAAATCTGTATAAATATTTATTTTAGAAAATATTATTCAGGGAAAACATTCAGTGTTCTACATCCAGATGCTGAATTCCAAAACTGAGCTAGAGTTATTGAAATCAAACTATTAGTAATAACTTAAGCTACACTCTGTAAAAAGCATTTATCCCTTAAAAGGTCTCACCACAGAACTTTGGCAGATAAGAAATGTTGCCGATTACGTACCAGACCTCAATCCCCATAACAAATGAACATTTTTCCCCTTATACTGCAGTGCAGAATGGTAGATCTCAATTTCATATTTGTGAACTCAGTTTCTTCCAAACAAGAAGTGGTTCATGGAAGAAAGAGGAGATTTCAAAACAACTATGCAATTTCCTAAATATTTAGCAATTAAAACTGAACTTTACAAGAAAAATCCTTCTGGGTGATCCTTTCAGATACAGATACTGAGAAACAGCCCTGACACACCCCAAATCCTACACTTGCCAACTGAAAAAAATCTGATATCTGTACGAAGAAATTTTGGAACATATAATCTTACTACACTATGAGAAAGAGAGAGGCTGGAAAGCAGGAAATTCTGCATTTATATCCTGATTTGAAGAATCACAAATTGATCTAGATCCCATTAAAGTCACTATAAAGACTATTCAAGTAATAAAAGTAGAAAATATTCTTAATTGTGAATTAATCTTTTTAATCCAATTCAAGAGGATTTAGAACTATTTAGCATCTCATTCTTAACATACACGACATGCAGACAATTAGGAACATCATGTAGACAATTAGGAACTCAGGCGTGCAGGTCATATTCTCTTCCATTCTTCCCATTGACGGCAACAATATAGAAAGAAACAGGAGGACATGCTCCATTAACACGTGGCTCCATGGCTGGTGTCATCGCCACAACTTTGGTTTCTTCAGTAGCAGGAAGCCTTACACAGCGGCAGGCATGATGGAATCTGATGGGATCCATCTTTCTCAAAGGGGGAAGAGGGTCCTGGGTCATGAGCTAGCAGGGCTCATCAAGAGGGCTTTAAACTAGATTCAAGGGGGGAGGGGAGTATCATCCGGGAAGCAGGTTATGGGGTAGGCAATG